CTCCGTTACTGTGGCCTCCGAGAACACTACTACTATAATCACGATAACTACAAGTACAACGACTCCCACCACTGCTATCAGAATCCCCTCCAATTGAAGACCAAGTCAATAACAACTTTTAGCGTTCGCTTTTTTTCTACAATCCCAACATGGATTTGTATTACTACTACAACGTTCAAGGATCGACACACCATAACTTTCACATGTATATACCCCTTCTACTAATCCAATACTTGAATTCCTCTGATAGAACGAACAAAGAACGAATTTCGCGCGATTCGGAGTTACTATCGCTACTTATCTGGAAGCTATGACACACGCCTCCACTATGTTTTCCGTGCTCTTCCTCAAATTTCTGTGCCCCGTTTTAGCCCTGCTTCGCCAATCCTCTGGGGGAGCATACTCTTCAATTTCGAGTTCCTTCAAGATATACTCGTCTCTTGGATCTGGTGTTCTAAAGGCTCTGACTAGGTCTCATGAAAATCACGAAATGGGCTATTCAGTCTTGTGGGCGCGTCCTCGACAATGCGAAAAAGTACCTGAATGAGCAACTCGCGTTCAAACATCCCAAGAAGAGGTTTCGAGAAATTGCTGGTATCTTCTACTACACTATACCTCGATAACTCGCATGAGCCACTTCCAGATATGACTTGCGTGGAAGGAGGCGACCATCATTTTCTCCCAAAATATTGTAGAATGACGATAGTTCGTACGATACTTATTCAGTAAAGAAATCCAGTTAGCCGGCTGCTACACCATCCTCGTGCGTGTCGAGCTCACCTTCGCTGTCGTCTATTTTGATTTTGGTAGGAAGATCATGGGTTGGCCATTACTGGCCGGGGCATCCAGAAATCGGTTACATCATCCAAAATCTCTACATCCACCCCTCTCCTGCCACCTACCTCGATGATCATTGCGGGACTGGGACTGGGCCCCAAAATCATGATTGAGTGTACATCGTGTGCGTCGTGTACGCGTGCACACGTAATTCTAGACTTAATGTGGCGAAGTATACTCCGTACGTGAGCGTCATACTTCCTTCCGAATTGTGTCAGGACTCAAGACTCAGCAACTGGACGCGTTCTCTCTGAAAGGGTATAAAAGGCTCTACATCTTTGCCTTTTCTTCTTCACTCAACTCACACAAAGCCTAGAGCTACAAGCACACGACGTACCCTCAATCATGGTTTTGGAACCCAGTCCCGTATTGGGCGCGACAGAGAACCGTGATGGCATAGAGGCAGTCACATCTCTCAGGAAGTTTCGGCTTGGTAGGCGCTCCAAGGTCTGAGGTGCTGCAAGCTGAATGAGTAGACTCGGATACCCCAACTGGATCGACGGAAGTTTTGAGGCCCGACCGAACCTCGAGGGATGGAAGGAATATAAGTTTTGTCCATCAATTGTGCCGAACAGGAAGCAGCACCTAGAACAGCCGCTGGTCAAAGCTGGCTATAATTTGCCTTATCTTCATTCAAGATGTACGACTTTTCTGACAGATTCTCATTTTTAAGAACGTTCTGAAGAGAATGATGTGTCCTTGGGTGCAAAGTATACCTTGCGCACGCACTGCTGATAACCCATTTCTGCTTCCATCGAGGATTAGGCCGTCTCAGTGCCGTGGTATGAAACATTGAGCTGTGGTTTTGTCTATTTATGGCAACTGCTATTCGTACCCACCAGTCCAACTAAGTAATTACCAACCCAAACCCTCAAAATACACCCCCCATTCCTCCAAAATCCTTGCCGTCTCTTCCGGCTTGCTCAAAAACGGACTGTGACTAGCCTCAATCTCCTTCCTCAACCACTTGACACCATCCATACTCTCGACTAACTCCATAAACATATCCTGAGCAGCCGGAGGAAGAGCTTTATCTTGCGTTGTTTTCAAAAACGCGAGACGACCTTTGAGTTCGGGTTCTGTGGTTGCGGATGGTCCGGGTGGAGTTTCGAAAGCGTTCATTGAGTGTGGACGGAGGAGTTTTATAGTATCGTTAGCTGTTGGATATGAGGTTGGGGGTTAGTAGTCATCCAACTAATACGAAGAGGAGATATACCTAAATCGGCATCAACGTCATGAAAAAACACCTCCGCGGGATTCTCAACTTCACAAAGGCCCGGAGCCGGCTATCCAATCGACAACGTATCAGTAAGTCATATTCGAGTTCACCTGCATCCGTCCATGCACAAATTGACTCGGACATACCTGATTATTTCTCACATATTCCGCACTTCCCCCTGTGCCTTGCATCATACTCGCTCCCTCCTTTCCAGGAAACCCTGCCATATTAATAATACCAATAACACCACCGTTCTTTCCTGCTGCTTTTCGTCCTTTTAAATGTTCTCCGTACGCAGCCGCACATCCTACCATTCCGCCATAAGAATGATTCACTACTACGATTTTTGGTTCTTCTTTCGAGTCTTCTTCGAGTAAAGAGAGGAGCAATGCTCGGACAGCAGCACCGTCCTGTGCACATGATGCGTTCATGGGAATCGGGGCATTCAGACTAGGATATGAAGCGATAGTAGCTTTGAATCCATGTTTTTGCAGTGCGTTAGCGAGGGGAGAGTAGGCTTGTGCGGGATGCCAAGCTCCTGGTACTATGAGAAATTGGATCGTCATGGTAGTAGTGGTAGTGATAGCGGTGTAATGGTGAGGAATTTTATACCCAACTTGAACGCTTTATATCTAAAAATCATTTCCGTTTTATTCCGAGTGCGTAACAGCGTTAGTAGTTTGTGATCGAGTGTTGAAGTTATCCGATATCAGTGGAGCCCGCACTAAATGGCTTTGTGCTTTGTTCTTCTTATCGAGCTGTTCATGCCCGGCTGCGTTTATTGAGCCGATTTCCGAATATTTGAGCCTATAGTGTATCTGAGCAGGGTCGGAGCGAGCGTAATGACATTCGAGTGTTTGAGCCGATACATCCTGGTGTACACATGGACTTGGAGTAACCCGAGCCTCAGGTGATGGTCTAGGCCTTATGGGTGACTTACTGAGTCTTGCCCATGCCCGGTCCTTAGCGGTGATTCACTCAAGATTGAGAAAGTGAGCCCATATGTAGGCAGATATAGTATGTTTTTCCGCTGCGGGGCTGGAGACTGGGGACTAGAGATTAGAGTGGACGATTGCTATCAGCATAGCAGAACAGCTATGCCCAGATTTAGAGTCGGCGCCAGGAAGAGTATAAGTCGGATGTATACTTTGAGATGCGCGAGAAAATGATTGCGACAAAGGCCTAACCACCTTTGACTGAGGGATAGAACAATAACTATGACACGGAAATGAGATGTGCCAAAGAAGAAACGCTTTGACCGATCTTTTTAGGTCAAGTCATCTGACAAATACACACGCGATCACTTCTTCAACCGCCACATCATTCGCTGCGCCACCCATTTTCTCATTCATGCATGGTAATTTATAATGCCCCTTTTCCGGCACGACACCAACTCTTTATACCAACAAAATCCGCTCAGTTTCGACTACCCTAACCTTCTTGAACCTAACAGGCTATCCAGTCTTGCGGACTGAATGAGCGAGCAGCTCGAGCTCTATTTCAGTTCAAACATCCCAAGAAAGGCTTCGAGAAAGCTGGTATCTTCTACTAATCAATAACATGAAGCTTTCCCACCGCTTCCGGATCTGACCTTTTCTTCGGCGGATCGCGAATGTTGCCTCCTTCTGGCAGTGTATCTACCAATCGATTTATTACTATTCCTGGCGCCGACCCTAGTTATTTCTCACATCTGGTTGGCGTGCTGTCTACCCTCCAGAGTAAAAACTGGCATGTCCAGTTAACGTCTCAACAGCGTTACCCAAGCCAAAACCTCCTATGAAATGGACGACATATCATCCCTCGATACGCCTTCACAGCACTCTGATCGTCTGTCACACTGGCCTCCAAAACCATGCGGTTCAATGTCGTCGTGTGCGCGTAATGTGTAGATCCGAGTCCTGACTGCTTCGCCTCGTCCGGGTTTACTCCGCACGTGAGCGTCATAACCTCCTCCCGAGTCGCGTCAGGACCTACGTCAGCAACTGGACGCGCCCTCTGTAAAATGATATAAAACGCTCTACATCTCCGCTTGTTCTTCCTCACTCAATTCTCACAACCACACATTTTAAACACACTACTACCAATAACCCATCTATAATCACCATGTCCGACAACGCTCGTCAAGGTTTCACTGTCCGTGTCTGCCTCCTACTTCGATTACCACATTAACTAACTTCATTGCTTTAGGATAAGGTCGGCTCTGCCGTCAAGCCCGACTCTCAGAAGAGCACCACCGAGCACATTGGCGACAAGTTCAAGGGAACTGCCGACAGCGCTGCTTCAACTGTTCAGCCACAGGTGTGTTCTCCGCGATATTGTTACTCATCGTGTTCATAAATTCATCTCCCATCACAGAGCGAGAAATCCACCACTCAGAAGATGGGCGATACTGTCAGCGGCAACCAGAATGAGAATGATGTAAGCTTTCTTCCATTACCGCTGGTGCATCTGACTGACGCTCTCTCTTCTTCAGGACTCCTTGCTCGACAAGACCAAGAACACTCTTGGCATGAACTAGATGATTGCGTAGATCTATGTGTCTCAGGCTTCCAAGTTTTCATCAACGATAGCCATGGCCACATTTTACGAATTTGCATTCTCATTTACGGCGTCATATCTAAAGCGATAATGTATCTGTATACTGTAATTTAACGCACGATATTGATATAACTATCAGTTTTGCGATAATTGTTGGATGGAGATTTTGGAGCTGATTTGTCTGAGTTTCGTCGGGATATATAAGCCTTAACCTAGTTTCCCAACCTAGGTGTCGGAGTCCTTCAATATCTAGAATAAGTAACTAGATGGATTTTACTCGGTTTCGGCTTCGCTTGAGAGCTTTCGAAATAGCCGTACCGTCCTTCTCCTGCTCAGATCGCTCTCAGCGTTAAGAGAAAGAAAAAACATAATAAAATCGCAAACCGCTAATGAAACATAGGAAGCATGCATTAAGAGGGAATCGAACCCCCGGCGGGTCGAAGAATGCCTGGATTAGGTATGGCAACGACCCAGGTTACCACTACCCCATTAATGCATGTGCTATACTCCGAAACTTGAATTCATCAGCTAAGTATGTTTGACAACCCAGTGTACTAGATGCATCTATGATTTCGACCAATATGTACAGACTGTACTCTTCCAATGGCAAGATTCACTTTCACTCGAGTCCGACTCCAGTCACTCTGAAAATCCTAACGACTTGGCGTTAGAGCACGCTGACGCTCCAAAGACGGACTTAGTTTGATGCCGTATCTCCAGATCTTATCTTCATGGACTCGTCTGCTATCCCTCAAGGTCGAACATATCGAAATAAGCCCACCAGCTCAGTATCTCGAGAGCGCTTTCAAACGCGTAATGATGCTTTGAGAAATGAGCTCGCGACACATGGCTAGAGGCGTGCAGGTACGTTACTTTTTCTCCCTTTCTTTTCTGTTCTTACCTCGCCAACGTAGGTCTGCTTTTAGAACTGGAGAGCCGAAGAAAACATCAGGCTTGCCAAAAACCCTGCGCTTTCAGTATCCCGCCTCCCAAGCTATGTAAACGACCATTATTCTTCTGCGATTCGCGACTTTCCTAGGCGGCTATTGCCTCCCCTACTGCCTGTCCCTCTTCCTTCTCCTGGCTTTACTTTCGGTGCTGCCACCTCTGAGCGTAACCTACCCGACTAATCCAACTCGCGTTTCAGGTCCATTGCATCTATTAGAACCAACAATTCGTATCATTCTGAGCAGCAAGCTCAGCCTTCAACAGTTTTTGGTCAGACAATCAGCTCATTACCAGGCGAAAGCCTTCTGTCGGGACTGTACAGTCTTCAGTCCTGCTCGCGATGCGGTGATTCCCTTCCTCATTCGTCCCTCCCATCTCCTCATCTTATGCACTCTGGTCTTCCGAATCCCACCTCCTACATCCCTTCGCTCACCTTTAAATGTTGACCCTCCTCCCTCGGAGAATCGGAAGGGCATTGGTATACTATAGTATCGAGTATGATCACATCATGGATGTGGCGAACGCAAATTTTCGCTCGCGAAAGCCATTCCCGAATTCGCATTCTAGCTCGTAACATGCTCGCTTTTGCTTCCGTTTGACGAACCGGCCTTTTGCCGACCGGCACGTTGGAACAACTTGCTCACAACCACGATGGTAGAACCACTGGCCAACGAACTCATCGACAATATCCTCGAATTTCTCTACTCCGATAAAGCCTCCCTCAAAAATTGTGCTTTGGTCGGAAAAGCCTGGGTTTGTGCCTCTCAGCAGGGCCTCTTTGAAACTATTGTGTTCAAATTTTTGAAGCGGACTCTCTATGCATTAACTCATGCATCTTCGAATCACGGCCCTATAAAACCCAAATTGGAGCGATTCATTGCGATGTTCGATGAAAAACCGTATCTGGCATCGTATGTCCGCTCTTTGGAGGTAGTCCATTTTCGTCCAGACGATTTATCGTCGAAACTTGAAGAAGCAGCTCCTTTGGCGTCCCAAGTTATCCACCGACTTTCATACGTGGAGCACATACTGCTTTACGACTGCGAAAAGAACATGCTCTCCGAGTTTCCTGTACTCAGAGAGGCGCTATACGACATATTCAACCTTCCTTCTTTGACTCGGGTCACTATTCAGCATTGTCGTTTCGGCACATTTATTGAGCTGGCTTCTCTGTTGAGCCATGCGACGCACTTGAAAGTGCTGACGATCGGTAGTGTGGGTTGCTTCGATCGGAATTTGCCATCCACCTCAGACTTGATGTCTAATGTTCCTCCGAGGTCAATCAAACTTGAAGAGTTTGCTGTGACCGCCAGCGGGTTTTTCAATTTCATTCCTTGGTTCGAACAAGAATCGTGTCCATTTCAAGTTCAGGATCTGCAATTTTTGCGCATGCGTTTGAGTGCCAGCCTCAGGACATCGCCACATATCCTCGTGCGGCTTGTTGGCCATGGTCTTACAAAGTTGGAGCTGCAGTACGAATATGGAGTTGAAGGTGCGGCTAAACCAGTACTATCACTTATATTTCTCTTGATTTTGACTCATTTTCCTAGAAATCCACTTTCATCTTGGACACTTACCAAACTTGGAGAGTTTTACATTGGATAATCAATACTACGACAGAACCGAAAACATCGTTTCTTGGTTTCGGTCCTTCTTTGGACCTGTTCTGAATCCGCACCCCCTATGCCATTCTACTCTAATCATAGCCCACCTTTTATCCGATGCTGCTCAGTGGGAGTCGGATTGTGATCAATTCGCTATCCTTGATATGTTGTTTGCGAAGCCGGTGTTTTCTTCGATGGAGACGGTGAATATTCATGCTCTGGAGGAAACAATTAATGCCGTATGATTTACCAAGTGGTTTTGTGAAACCATTGGAGGAGAAGCTTCCTTTTTTAAAGCGGTCGGGCAAGCTAAAGGTTGTTGTATATCATAGGCCAGTAGGAACATAATGATTAGGGCTGCGAAATACACATACTTTTTCCTACTTATACCCTGCATCATCTCAACACTTTGAATAGCAAAATATCTCGAAATACAATCCGGAAATCCTTGCGCCGGATTAGAAAGACAAGTATGTTTTCGCTCTTCGCTACGTGCCCTCTACTTGCTTCGGATGTGTAAAGGACTATCGGTCGCAACTAGTACAATAAGAGAGCTCTCATTGGGTGCAACCGTGCATAATATCAATAACTTCTTGAACTCCTTTGTCGAACTAGTTGATAATGCTGTATTCATTTACTTTCCCTAGCTGTTACATTGAAATTGTTTTCGCAGTATCAGTGACAAGTGCGAAGCAGTGTCTAAGTTCTCTATCAAGTTCTGAGCGAGAGAATTAGTCTCCCAAAGGCTGAATCTAGATTATCTTTAGTTGAGACTAGTACTTACTTGGAGTTGTCGTGTAATCATGCATTTTCCCCTGCGCAATTTTTAAGTCGTCGCGGAGTAAACCTGTATGTATCCAGACCTTCGGTGTAGTATATTTGAGTATAGAAGACTAAGGCAAAGTATGTGAAACTGTCTGATAAGTGTTGCTTTGGCCCATCCTTCAAGTTTTCGCTTACAGCTGTTCCAAAAAACCTAGGCCACTTCAAAAAATTGTTTACATACGGCTCCCTGTTGAGTTGCTACTCCGTTTGATTCAATCGCCTACGAGCCCACCAGAATTGAATGTCTTGCGTCACTGCAGCAAAATTACGAAGTGGCCTAGGTTTTTTGGAACAGCTGTATTCGATCCGTGATAGTCCTTGTTCTCCACCATCAGCATTTCCAGCGCCTCACGCTCGCACCCCTGTTTCGTTTTCCTCGGACTTCTCGGAATCTCGGTGCTGAGCTGCCAAGTCACTTGACCGCGAACTTGGTAAGCCTCGGTGATATGCTCGGCGCACTGGGTTAACCGGTGATTTGACGCATGAAATTGATGTGCTCTCTCTCTAATCTACCATGGTCGCACCCCCGCAAAGACGGTTAGCACGACTCTTGGATCAGCTTTCACCTACAGCGGTTCCAATTGGACATCTAAAGCTGGGTGATATCAGTTATGAAGTGACCGAAGCCGTAACTCCCTCTCGCTTACCGTCGAACTCGAGCTGGAAATGGAATCCAGAAAGCTCCAGTTCTTTCGATGCTCGAGGCTCTTACCTCGTAGACCCGCAAGACCAATTCACGGCCTCGAATCTACATTTTATGCTACAAAAATATCTCCTTGGACAGGACATATTCCTTTTATCACAGCCAGGAGGACCTTATGCGCGTAGACTCGCCCTTACATTTGCTTCTCTCTTGAACTTGGAATACGAATACGTGGCATTACATCGCGACGTCGGCGAAACAGAACTCAAACAAGGCCGGGAGATTCGAAACGGTGGTAGTTTGATATACGTCGACAGTCCAGCCGTGAACGCGGTTAAATATGGGAGATTGCTGATTTTAGAAGGGATAGAAAAGGCTGAGAGGGGGATTATGCCGATATTGAATAATTTGTTGGAGAATAGGGAGATGAATTTGGAGGATGGGACAGAGGTGGTTCATTCAAGGAGATACGAGTTGCTAGACGAAGAGGATAAGAAGAAGAAGAAGTTTATACCAGCGCACAAGAATTTTCGCGTCATTGCTATTGCAGCGCCTGTTCCGCCGTATCCAGGTTATCCTCTAGATCCGCCTTTCCGAAGTCGATTTCAAGCACGGTTTATTGACCCACTTGGAGCCATGCTGGCTTTGGCTGCCGGTGGTAGTTCAGAGTCGTCGTTGATATACACATCCCTCCGATCCGTCATTCTCGCAACGCAATACTCATCCGAATCACGACACGCTATCGACCTGATTCCCTCCGCCAAGTCTGCATTGCCTGCGTTTCCGCAAACAGCGTTGCTTAGGCTCAGGGGAATTTGCGAGTTGTTTCCGCCAAATTTAAAGACGGTGACTGCGTCTTCACTAGCGCGGGTATTATTAACGATCCATCCTGGTCTTGCACATGCCCAGTTTCAAGCTTGGGCTTTGCTTGCGAGACAGGTCGAGGAGCTTGAGATTGGGCTTGAATTGGGGAGTCCTTTTGTGGAGGATGATGCAGGCGGCTTCTGGGGATACGTCGTCACGTCTATAGAGCGTGTATCCGAGACGACGGCACGGGTAACTTTCTCCAACTGGACTCGGTCTCGCACATTGTCCCCTGTGGTCCTAATCCTTTCCGTTCGTTTCCACTCCAAGAATCGGACTCGGACTCGGATGAACCACTTCTTCCGACACCTCGTTTCCTTTCCCTCTTCACTTGCTTCCTCCAGGCACATGCTCTAGGCTGGGACATTTCTTACGTCCCGCCTCTACTCCCTTCTACTGCTAGCACAAGCACAGCGACACTGGTGAAGATATTTTCTGAGGTAGGTGCTTTAGTACTGCAATCACTATCAACTTTAACAATGCGTTACAGGTACTGGGCTACCAACTCGAAACAATACACCTATACAAAGAACTCGGAGGGAGGGAGATTGTTATGCGGCGGAGAGTCGTTGCTGACTCGACCCCAACTACCGCTACTGCTTCGACCACAAC